GTTTGAGTGCTTTGCTGCTTCTGTACCTCATCTCGTGTCCATGCTGATTGCCCCTGAGGGAGACCCGGATGCACCAGACATCCCGACCCCGCGCTCTTACGCAGAGGCGATAGAGGGTTCCTACTCCTCTTAGTGGCAGGCAGCCATGGACGCCGAGATGGCTTCCTGGAAGTCCACTGGCACCTACGTAGACGAGGTTCCCCCACCTTGGGCGAACATCGTCACTGGCATGTGGATCTTCAGGGTGAAGTGGCCGCCGAGTTCTCCGCCTGCCTTCAAGGCGCGTTACGTTGCACGTGGCTTCAGTCAGCGACAGGGAGTTGACTTCTTTCAGACCTTCTCCCCTACCCCGAAGATGACCACTCTTCGGGTACTGCTGCACGTTGCTGCTCAGCGTGACTACGAGCTCCACTCGCTTGACGTCAGCACAACCTTCCTCCAGGGCAGCCTGCACGAGGAGGTCTGGCTGCGCTGCCCACCTGGCTTCACTGGGTCGTTTCCTGCTGGTACCCAGTGGAGCCTCCGGCGGCCAGTCTACGGTCTCCGCCAGGCACCCTGTAAGAGTACGCCGACGTTCGACATATTTCTCATTTCCATATTTTTACTCCATCTTATTCTCCTTATTTTCCTCTTTCATTTGCACTTTATTTCACCTCAATCGGACTACTATTCTATTTTCTAGAGCTTTCCGATTATTTCACTTATTTGGTATTTTCGGCACCGACATTTACATTATACGGCACCGACAGCACCAACAGTGGTGTACAAGGCGTAATCTCGCCATAATCCGAAGTGCCAATGGGCTTGCGTGCTTATGCGCACTTGTGATGATCTATTCTAGAAGAGCGCGTTCCCGAAGGTTCGGATTATCTGTTGTTTCTATGTATTTCTGAGTATAAATACGCCTTGTACTCACCTTTAGTGCAACATTCTCGAGTGGAAATTCGATCCTGTGACACTTGGTACTCAGAGCCGTTTTCACTCGCGGAGTTTCAGTTAAGCAGCGCGCTCAAGAAATTCCTGCTTCGAAAAACCGCCGGGGGCGACGAATTCGGCGCCGACGATGGTAAGCACCAGATTCCGCGTTTTTTGAATAACCCCCCTCGCGCGTTTTTTGAACAGGATCGTGCGTTCGATTGTTGGCGAAAACGTTTGCGATACAGGGACGACAATTGCGAATTGTTGGGACCTATATCGAGCGGTGCAGAAGTAGCGAGACCGACGCGCGACGGATCGAACGACTTCGGGTGAAAGCGCGCGTCATGGCGAAAATTGCGACAGAAGCAGAATCGATCGTGACTTCGCAGCAGTCGCGAAATTTTCCCAAGGCCCAAGAAATTCGAGCCCCCAACACCTTTGCTGGGGAGATCGACGCTAGGCTCTGGCTTTTGGCGATCGAAATTTATTTCGCTGCCATTGGATGGACAGCACCAGCACTTGACAGAAACAGAATTAATTTTGCTGCAACACTACTGCGCGGACCAGCAATTGAATGGATAAGCGGAAGCGGTTTATTAAACCAAGGTGAAGCGACGTGGCAGCAGTTCCGAGAACGATTACTACAACGTTTTGAGCCGATTAATGCAGCGTTTATCGTCCGCGACAAAATACATCGTCATCGACAAATCGGGAGCGACGCGAACTACACGCAACAAATGGAGGAGTTGTTCAACTGCATCCTCGACGTCACAGAAGGCGAAAAAATTAGAGCATTTATCGCGGGGCTGAAAAAAGAAACACGACAACATGTTGCGGCCGCAAATTGGAGCAGCTACAACGACGTCGTTTCGGCAGCGGAACGTTTCGACGTAACCACGATCGGAACACGACGACTTCATGGACGAGCTAGACGACATGGAGGACGCTTGGCTAACCCCACGTACGCCGACCCGATGGAACTCGATCAAATCGACGCGAAGGCAAGACCAAAGAAGAACAAATCTAAGTGTTCTTTCTGCGGCAAGCCCGGACATCGACTCATCGATTGTGACGAAATGAAAACTGCACGTTCAGCACTTAGGGACCGCAGCAGTGGAGCAGATTTAATGCGAATATTGGAGGATCGTGGAGTGAATTTTTCAAACCACGAACGGACTCTACCAGGGAAAATCGCCGAGGGAAATAAAATCTCCACGACACAAAACCCTGCTGGACCCGGACAACTCCAAAAAGGCCTTTTAAAAAGTAAGCACCCCTTCAAAATATCATACAAGGATGCTTTACTTGGAAAAAATTCCCTTGGGTCTACGGCCTTTGTGAAATCACGAGAGAGGCTCCAGAAGAAAAAGAATGTACCGGTACGACAACTACAGCAGCTGCGCATGGGGAACCAACAACGGAGCGTGGAAGATCGACCTTCCAACGACGACATCGTCCTCTCTCTGAAAAACCAGCCCATGTCGACCAACCGGTCCCCACGGAAGAAGTCGGTGGCGCTGAAGCAGCTCAAGAGGGAGCTGGAGGTCAACATGAAGCTGCGACGACCTCAAACCTCCTCTACAGATGCATCTGCAACATCTGAAACATCTACGGTATCTACCCCATCTATGAATTCTACTACGAGCTCGAGAACCACGTCGTCGACGACAACAAAAAATCATGGCAATAGGGAACGGCAGGACCGGCCATCTGCCACCCCAGGAGAAAACACAGAGCTATGGGAAATGCCCTATGATCCAATCAACGAGACGATCAACGGGTACAACGAGCAACGCCAACCACTTTTGCTCGAGGTGATCTGCAATGGACGACGCCTCCAAGCACTCGTGGACAGCGGAGCATCCCATTCAGTATGCGACAAAGCAACCCTCGAACGCATCAATGAGAAGTACACGCCTTCAAACTTCACAGCTACGATGGTTGACGGAAGCAAATTACAAGTCTACGGCGAAGCAGCGTTACACCTGCAGATGGGTCCTCTTCGCTGGAAACCGACCCTACCCGTCACCAACATCAAAGGGCTAGACTTGATTCTTGGGAGAGATTTTCTGAAGAAGTTCAACCCCGAGATCAACTGGGTCACCCGCACGGCGAGTATTTACAATCAAGACAGAAGAGTTCCTCTTCCGAATTGGAGCAACACGGGAGATATTCCGGAGGAGACTCTCGCACGCTTCGAGAAGGACGTGAAGCGAACCATGGCAGGGTTTGTTGCACTGGTTACCAACGAGGATGAAGGAGAGAGAAAAACGCTCGAGCTTCCACCAGCAATCCAGAAACTTCTAGAAGAGTTCGAAGACGTTCTCCCTGACGACCTTCCAGACCAGTTGCCGCCATACCGAACCCACCAGCACGAGATAATCGAAGAACCTGATTCAAAACCGACCTTCCGAGCACCATATCGACTCAGCCCTACCGAGTTGGCCGACATGAAGAAGCAGATCGAGTACCTTCTGGACAAAGGACTCATTCGACCATCAACATCACCATACGGTGCACCAGTGCTTTTCACACCAAAACCTGACGGAAGCTTACGCATGTGCATCGACTACCGAGCCCTCAACAAGCAGACGATCAAGAACAAGTATCTAATTCCACGGATCGACGATCTACTTGACCAGCTTCGTGGAGCCACAGTATTCTCAAAACTCGATTTGAGATCGGGATATTGGCAGATCCGGATGGCGGATAACTCCATCCATAAGACAGCGTTTCGGACAGGATACGGATCCTACGAGTACCTCGTCATGCCGTTCGGACTCACCAACGCACCCGCTACATTCCAGGCCGAAATGAACCATATTCTTAGGCCTCTACTCGACGAATGCGTGGTGGTGTACCTGGACGACATCCTGATCTACTCGAGGGACATGAAGCAGCATATCGAACACCTACGACGCGTCTTCGAGATACTTCGACGGGAGAAGTTCTACGTTAAGCTATCCAAGAGCGAGTTTGCCTTGAAGAAAGTTCAGTTCCTTGGACACATGGTGAGCGCTCAAGGAGTCCATGTTGACCCAAAGAAGATCGAAGCCGTACGTACGTGGAAGACACCGGAGAACGTGAAGGAACTTCAGCAATTCCTTGGCTTTGCGAACTACTATAATCGGTTCGTGCCACAGTATGCGAAGATTGCAACACCTCTCACCAATCTACTGAAGAAGAATACACCGTTCAAATGGGAGGATGTGCACCAGCAAGCCATGGAGCAGTTGAAGACCGCACTCACGTCCACACCCGTCCTGATCCTGCCAGATCCAGAAAAAGACTATGTCATCAAAGCTGACGCTAGCGACCAAGCAGTTGGAGCAGTCTTGATGCAAGACCAAGGGAAAGGACTACAACCAATCGCTTACCTCAGCAAAAAATTGCACGGGGCAGAACTCAACTACCCGATTCACGACAAAGAGGCCTTAGCGATCATCACGTCATTCAAGACATGGCGATGCTACCTCGAAGGGAGAAAGACCACGGTCTACACTGACCATTGCAGCCTAAAATACCTGAAAACGCAGCCGACCCTCTCCAGACGACAAGTCAGGTGGATTGACTTCCTCGAGACGCACTTCGACTACGACATCATGTACAAGCCGGGACACAAGAATAAGGCAGACGCACTGAGCCGGCCTGGACACGTTGCCGCCATACAGATTGAGGGGATGAATCCGCTACTCAAGGGACTCTTCACGCACGGGTATACCATCGACCCCAAGATTCCCTTAGCAGAGAAAAAGAAATTGTTGCAGTGGGACCATGACGTCGCACTACGCAAAGGATCAAGAAAGATATGGGTCCCCAACTACCCGCCTCTTCGGCAGTTGCTTCTCGAAGAATTCCATGACGTGCTCTACGCTGGACACTTCGGGAGTAACAAGACTCTTGCCGGGATTGCAAAAGTCTACTATTGGCCTCACATGGCAAACGACGTGCAAAAGTTTGTCACTTCGTGCGACACGTGCCAGCGGATGAAAAGCAGTAAGCAGAAGAAAGCAGGACTTCTTCAGCCTTTACCCGTCCCGGAACAGCCTTGGCAAGTGGTCAGCTTTGATTTCATCACCGGTTTACCACCTACCAACGCGGGGCATGACGCCATCCTGGTCGTCATCGACAAATTCTCAAAGATGGGACACTTCATTCCAACACATACAACCGCACGCACGGAGGAAACGGCACAGCTATTCCTCAAACCCATCATCTCACAGCACGGGATCCCAACAACCCTCATATCCGACAGGGACCCCAAGTTTACTAGCAAGTTCTGGAAAGAGCTCATGTCGCTCATGGGGACACGCCTAGCAATGTCATCTGCATATCATCCCCAGACCGATGGGCAGACAGAGCGCTTGAACCAAATTGTGGAACAACTCTTGCGCGCAGCGTGCAAGGACGACATTAACAAGTGGGACTTGCACTTGCCGGTGTTGGAGTTCGCCTACAATAATGCGAAGCATGCCGCAACAGGAGAGACCCCATTTTTCCTCTGTTACGGACGACATCCACTAACTCCACAACAGCCGACAGTACCTGCAACTGTCCAACCCGCGCACGACTTCGTTACCACAATGCAGCAGCTTTGGGATCGGACACACAAGCGTCTACAGGACATACAGCATTCACAGAAACGCTTGGCCGATCGCCATCGACCCCTGTGCGCCCTGCTGCCCTGCTGCCCTGTGCGCCCCGCGCGCCCTGCAGCCCTGCTGCGCCCCGCGATCCGTGCTGCCCTGCTGCCCTGTGCGCCCCGCGCGCCCTGCAGCCCTGCGCGCCCTGCGCGCCCTGCTGTCCTGCTGCCCTGCGCGCCCTGCTGCCCTGTGCGCGCCGCGCGCCCTGCAGCCCTGCGCGCCCTGCTGTCCTGCTGCCCTGCAGCCCTGTGCGCCCTGCTGCCCTGTTCGCCCCGCGCGCCCTGCTGCCCTGCAGCCCTGTGCGCCCTGCTGCCCTGTGCGCCCCACGCGCCCTGCAGCCCTGCGCGCCCCGCGCGCCCTGCTGTCCTGCTGCCCTGCGCGCCCTGCAGCCCTGCGCGCCCCGCACGCCCTGCTGCCCTGTGCGCCCTGTGCGCCCTGCTGCCCTGTTCGCCCCGCGCGCCCTGCTGCCCTGCAGCCCTGTGCGCCCTGCTGCCCTGCTGCCCTGTGCGCCCCGCGCGCCCTGCAGCCCTGCGCGCCCCGCGCGCCCTGCTGTCCTGCTGCCCTGCGCGCCCTGCGCGCCCTGCAGCCCTGCAGCCCTGCGCGCCCCGCGCGCCTTGGTGCCCTGCAGCCCTGTGCGCCCTGCTGCCCTGTTCGCCCCGCGCGCCCTGCTGCCCTGCAGCCCTGTGCGCCCTGCTGCCCTGCTGCCCTGTGCGCCCCGCGCGCCCTGCAGCCCTGTGCGCCCCGCGCGCCCTGCTGCCCTGCTGCCCTGTGCGCCCTGCTGCCCTGCTGCCCTGTGCGCCCCGTGCGCCCTGCTGCCCTCTGCACGTGCCATGCACAGCCCCTACCCCGCCCTCCCCCTCCCCCCCCCCCCCCTTCTCCCCTGGTGCGGGTGTCGCAGTGGGGAGAGGGGATCTGCAGCACCAGCCCCCCCGCCCCCTCCCCCCCCCCCCCTCTTTCTCCTCCATCCCCCTGCTGCGTGTGCAGCAGTGGGGGGGGGGGAGTATGGGGGTGGCGGGATCTTGGAGGGTATGGGGGTGGCGGGTATGAGGAGCCAGCAGCCGCCCCTCCTCCTCTCTCTCTCACGGCCGCGCGTGCCACTGTGGGGGAAGGGTGAGGCGGTGGTTTGTTGACTTTTTTGCTCGTCTGCCGTAGCCTTGCCCTGCTTGTACTCGCACCTGTATATCTTATGTAACCTCTTGGACTGGCCTTGTGGCCGCTTGCTAGTGCTCAGAGTGCGTGGTGATCTTGAGATCCACCCTGAGCTTGCTTTGCTTTGTTTCTTCTCCTGACTGGTCTTGTGACCGCTTTGTTGTGTTTGCTATCCCCCACTTCACCTATGGCGGTGTGTCAAATTATAAGTCTACTGCTATCTAGGCTGTAGTGGGTTTAGCCTTATGCGGTACAGTAAATAGCTCGACACTTCATTGTATCCCCCTCCTTGCCCTAATACACATCATTCCTTCTAAAACTCTCTCGACATTGAGCCCTAGCATGGTTCCTAAACTCACAATAGCTACTATTTCAACACGCACGCCTTCGGAGTGGAGCTACCGGAGCTGGAGATGCTGAAGCTGCTGGAGCTGGAGGTGCTAGAGTTGCCGCTGGAGCTGGTGTTACTGGAGGTACTGCGGCCACTGGTCCTGGAGGTGCTCGTACCTGGGGTACTGGAGCTGCCGGGACTGGTGGTGTTGAGGGTGCTGGAGCTGGAGACCCTATGGAGTCTGGAGCTACTGGTGCTGGTGGCTCTGGCGCTGGTGGCGCTGGTGGCGCTGGAGCTGGAGAAGCTGGAGTTGGAGGCGCTAGCGCAGGAGGCACTGGCGCGGGAGGTGCTGGAGCTGGAGGAGCTGGTGCTGTTGACCCTGGTGGCGTTGTGAGGCCGCGACCGTACTTCGTTCCCTTGCTTCAGCAAGTTCTTGGTACCCCGCCTTCTACTAGCATTACTCCTCCCCTCCTGTGTCCACCGCTTGACCAGCGCAGCCGCCGTTGCAGCCAACCTCTCCACTGCCTGCTCCTACTCCTTACACAGAACAGTCCGGCGGTCTTACGGAGCGTCGTGAGCCTGCGTCTCGTCCTGTCTCACCTGTTCGCACTGCTCGTCGCGTTCCTCGTTCGCGTCCTCCTCCTGTCCCTGGCATGCACGCTATGACCCTTCGTTCTTCCTCTGTTCCACTGCGTGTTCCTTTGCCTGCTCCTCCTGCATCCTCTCTTCCTGAGGTCCCTGACCCTGAGTCTGATTGCGCTCGTGCTGCCAGTCCCACTGTCTCTCGTCTCCTCGCCACTGCTGTCACTGACCCTTCTTTTGAGTCTGCTGCTGAGTTTGCCCTCGTTGCTGAGCTGCTTGACTTTGCTGTTGCCTGTCGTCTAGAATACGCCATTGCTCTTGTTGCTGAGTCTGCGTCTGCCAGTCCTCCGTCCGTCGGGGGTGAGTGTGCTCTTGGCACGGACGTCCTTGAGGACAGGCAGGAGGACTTTGAGTGTCTTGCAGCTGCTGTACCTCGCTTCGCTTCCATGCTGCTTGCCCCTGAGGGAGACCCGGATGCTCCAGACATCCCGACCCCGCGCTCTTACGCAGAGGCGATTACGGGTCCTTACTCCTCTCAGTGGCAAGATGCCATGGATGCCGAGATAGCATCCTCGAAGTCCACAGGCACCTACGTCAACGAGGTTCCCCCACCTGGGGCGAACATAGTCGATGGCATGTGGATTTTCAGGGTGAAGCGGCCGCCGGGTTCTCCGCCTGCCTTCAATGCGCGTTACGTTACTTGAGGCTTCAGTTAGCAACAGGGGGTTGACTACTTCCAGACCTTTTCCCCCACCCCGAAGATGACTACTCTTTGGGTGTTGCTGCACGTCGCTACTCAGCGTCACTACGAGTTGCACTCTCTGGACTTCAGCACAGCTTTCCTGCAGGGCAGCCTGCACGAGGAGATCTGGCTGCGCCGCCCACCTGGCTTCACAGGGTCGTTTCCTGCAGGTACCCAGTGGAGCCTCCGGCGGCCAGTCTACGGTCTCCGCCAGGCGCCTCGCGAGTGGCACAATACACTTAGGACTACACTTGCGGCTCTTGGGTTTGCTCCTGCTACTGCTGACCCGTCGCTGTTTCTACGCACCGACACCTCGCTGCCGCCGTTCTACATCCCTGTGTACGTCGACGACCTCGTCTTTGCCACTGCTTACACTGAGGCACTGACCCTTGTGAAGTCGGAGCTGTAGAAGAGACACACCTGCACCGACCTTGGTGAACTGCGCAGCTATCTTGGCCTCCAGATCACCCGGGACAGAGCACGGCGCACCATCACCTTGACTCAGTCACACATGGTGCAGCAGGTCCTTCACCGTTTCGGCTTCCAGTTCTCCTCGCCACAACCCACTCCTCTGTCTACCAGCCACTCGCTCTCAGCTCCACCTTCGGACGAGTCCGTAGAGCCAAGTGGTCCGTACCCAGAGCTTGTGGGTTGCCTCATTTACCTGATGACCTGCACACGACCTGACCTCGCGTACCCTCTCAGCCTTCTGGCTCGCTACGTGGCTCCCGGTAGGCACCAAAAGGTGCACTGGGATGCTGCGAAGAGGGTATTGCGCTACTTGTGCAGTACGTCACGCATGGGGCTCGTGCTTGGAGGACGGGGTCCAATTGTCCTCAATGGTCATGCAGATGCCTTCAGCCTTGGTTCCGGCTCTGTTTCCTGGCGGTCTACTCGCTTGTCTTTGGTTCTTAGCTCTAGTTGTGAGGCTGAGATCTATGCCGGGGCCATGGCTGCACAGGAGCTACGCTGGCTCACCTACCTGCTGATTGACTTGGGAGAGCATCCTCGTTCGCCTCCAGTTCTGTACGTAGACAACAAGGCCATGATTGCCTTGTGTCAGGAGCACAGACTGGAGCACAGAACGAAGCACATCGCTCTGCGATACTTCCTTACTTGAGAGTTGCAGTAGCATGGCCAGCTTCGTCTTGCGTACGTGGCCACTAGGGCCAACACTGCTGATATATTCACCAAGGCACTTCCCCCTGGTGATCATCAGTTCTTCTCTACTGTGTTAGGCCTTGTGCCTACTTTACCTCACTTGGTTACTGCCTGATTCTGCTTGTACTGTGATCTATATATATACTTGCATGCTTGCACTTGCTAGGATATGATCACTGTATTGTTTGTTCTCTTTGCTTTGTTTGTGGCCCTTTGCTTTTGCTCGGACTGCGTGGTGACTTTGTGATCCACCTTGAGCTTGCTTTGCCTTTCTTGACTGGTCTTGTGACCGCTTGTTCTCCCCCACTTTGCCTATGGGGGTGTGTCAGAACATTTTAGCTTTTACAGTTGTGTAGGCTATAGTGTGGTATCCCATAAGGAGTACAACCCAATTAGGGTTAGTACTTGTACCCAACTCTTTCATAGTTCATTCATTCTCGTTCATTACTTTCAACAGAAACAGTTGCACCAGTTAGCCGACATACCTCACTACGGATTCTCCTTGCGATAGCCGCCATGAACCGGAAGAAACTTCGACAAATCGATGTCGTTAACGCATTCCTCTATGCCCCCTTCGACGCTGAGATCTTCGTCGAACTCCCGCACGGATCTAACACAGACCCCAACCAAGTCTGTCGCTACATCCTACTCATCGTCTACGTAGATGACCTCCTCTACATAGGCTCCACCAACGACATAACAACCTGGTTTGAAGGGGAGCTGCAGCGGGATCTCACACTCACCGTCGCGACTATTGTAACACAGTACCTAGGACTCAACATACAAGACGGCGACAACGCGATTTACCTCAGCGCCAAAAAATACACGTACACCATCGCCAAACGATTCGGACTTACTCCAACTGCCATCACCACGCCATACCGCTACACGGACAAAAATCGCAAGATCTCCGCCTTACTCAAACCTGCCGGCATTCGCGACTACCAACGAAAGTTAGGCTGTCTATGTCAAACTTATGTGCTATAGTCTATCTAGGCTGTAGTGGGGTAGTCCATATAGGGTACAACACTTTTAGGTTTCCTACTTGTACCCACCTGCTTTCTAGTTTCATTCATTCCTCTCATTATTCTCACATGGTATAGAGCAGGTTCCCTAGTGGGACCGTTTTTTTAAGGGCCCACCACTATGATTTTTTTTTTTTCCTTACCTGCCCGAAGCGCGCTTCGCGTTTGTCCTAGCTGCGCCCCGTGCGCCTGCCCTTCGAGGCCCTTCGTGGCCCCCCCCTTTCGCGGCCCGTTGCGGCCCCTTCGCAGCCCTTAGCGGCCCCTCTTACAGCCCTTCGCGGCCCCATCGCGGCCCTTCGCGGCCCCTTTCGCGGCCCTTCGCGGCCCCTTTCGCGGCCCTTCGCGGCCCCTCGCGGCCCTTCGCGGCCCCTTTTGCGGCCCTTCGAGGCCCCTTCGCGGCCCTTCGCGGCCCTTCGCGGCCCTTCGCGGCCCCTTCACGGCCCTCCGCGGCCCTCTCCGAGGCTCTTCGCGGCCCCTTAGCGGCTCTTCGCGGCCCCTTAAGCGGCTCTACGCGGCCCCTTCCGGCCCCTGCTGACGTGCCCCTGCTGGCGCGCCCCTACCGGCCCCTGCTGACGCGCCCCTCCTGGCGCGCCCCTGCCGGCCCCTGCTGACGCGCCTCTGCCGGCCCCTGCTGACACACCCCTACTGGCGCGCCGGCCCCTGCTGACGAGCCCCTGCCGGCCCCTGCTGGCGCGGCCCCTGCTGGCGCGCCTCTGCCGGCCCCTGCTGACGCGCCCCTGCTGACGCGCCCTTGCCGGCCCCTGCTGACGAGCCTCTGCCGGCCCCTGCTGACGCGCCCCTACTGGCGCGCCGCTGCCGGCCCCTGCTAACGAGCCCCTGCC